CACCCAAGAGAATGAAAACATACCTCCACACAAAAACTTGTATGTGAATGTTCACAGCAGCATTATGCACAATAGCCAAAAAGTAGAAACAAGTCAAATGTCCATCAACTAACAAATGGATAAACAAAATGTGGAATATCCATTCAATGGAATATTATTCAGCCACAAAAAGGAATGAAGTACAGACACATGCTACAACATGAACCCTGGAAACATTATACTTAAAGAGCTAGATACAAAAGGCCACATATTTTATGATTTATTTTATATAAAATGTTCAGAATAGGCAACTCCATAGAGCGAGAAAGTAGATTAGTAGTTGCCCGGGGCTGAGGAGAGGAAGAATGAGGAATGGCTGTCAATGGGCACCGGGTTTCTTTTTGGAGTAATGAAAATGTTCTAAAATTGATGATAGTGAAGTTTTCCCAACTCTATGAATGTACTAAAAACTAAAAAAAATAACAATTAAACTAAAAAAAAGAGAGAGACCTAAAAGACTTAAAAGACAAACCAATTTGCCTCGCTTAAATCTTATTAGATCTTGAATTTTAAAAATACACTATAAAATAAAATTATAAGGCAACCATGGAAATTTGAACATTGAATATCTGATGATATTAAGGAATTATTGCTAATTTCTTATGGGTATGATAATGGAATTGAGTTATGTCTTTAAAAAAGGAGACCCTAGGGCCAGCCTGGTGGATAGTGGCTAAGTTCACTTGCTCCACTTCGGCAGCCCAGGGTTCTCTGGTTTGGATCCTGGGCATGGACCTATGCACTGCTTATCAAGACATGCTGTGGCAGGTATCCCACATATAAAGTAGAGGAAGATGGGCATGGCTGTTAGCTCAGGGCCAATCTTCCTCAGAAAAGGAAAAAGGAGTCCCTATGCTTTAGAGATACATATTAAAATATTTACCAATGAAATGATATAGTGTCTGGGATTTGCTTAAAAATAAACTGGAGAGAGAGGTAAAAAGTAGAATGGGATACAGGTGAAATGGTCATGAGTTGGTAATTGTTCACTAGACTATTCTCTCCATTTATGTGATGTTTGAAGTTTTCTATTTAAACAAAAAAAAAAAAAGAAAGAAGGAAGAGGAAATACTTCCATGCCACATTATTTTATTGTGTGGCAACTATCAATCCTACAGGTGGGAAAACCCCATTTCAACTGTAGTCTCAAGGACCAAAAATATCTTGGGCTTCCCCTTCCATCCTCAGCAACCACTTTTTCTGCCTCAATTACAATCTTTTCAAAAGGCCTTCCACCTTAATACTTCTTCCTAAAAAAGCCATCCATTGATTTCCTTTTATAATTCGTTTGGCCTTACACCTAATGACCTTTTTAATCAAATTTTCAAATTTCCTTATCTTTGGAATTAAGTTGCTCCTTGAAGGATATATTGATCAATTTGCCTTGCTTGTCAATTTCACATGCTCCTGCGATGACAGCAGGAGAAAGAAAGGTCCAGACCTGTGAGACCGAGACAGAGACTCCTTGGTCACATTAAAAGGAAGAGATTTTTAGGGGGTGCTTAGCCCCGGCCCTTGTCCCAGAGCTGAGCCAGAAAACACCACCACCTGAACCCCACCCAGATCCTTATGGAAACAACAACAACAACGCTCTAAGTTCCTGACTACATACCACGTGAGAGGCACGGTAACAATCGCTTTACCTGAGTAAAGTTATTTAGTCATTGCAGTAAGCCCAGGAGACAGGTGTAAATTATTTATCCCCATTTTGCTGGGACTTCCAGAATGGTCAAGTAACTTGCTTTAAATCACACAGCTTTATGTGGCAGAGCCAGGATTTGAACTCAGGCTATCTGGCCCAGGACCTGCACTTATACCTCCTGGCTTTACCTCCTGGGTGGAAACTACTAGCTCATCACATCTTTATTACAGTATCACTAACGTTCAAGGACCAGAAACTTTAATCAGGCCAAAAATCATTCACTTTGGCAACAGAAGCTGGACTATCTCCCAGGAAATCCCCCTCCCCAGCTCCCTCATTAGAACCACCAATTTCACAAATCTTCCTCCTGAAGAGCGAAAACAAAAGGCACATAACTTGTAAAAAGTGATGCAGAGATATCTTAAAAGTTAAAAATGAAGAGAGACACATCCCCTTTGCCTTGCCCCCGCTCGACCCCCAGAAACGCCTGGCTGAAAGGCTAGCGCCAAGGGGGCTGGATGCAGGGACTCTGGGAGGCGATTCCACAGTGAGGGGACAACAGGCAGGGTGAGGGTAGGCGGGTCCTCTTCACTAAATCCGGATCCCAGCCAGGCAGCTCGGAGGCTTCCCTGAGTCACTCCCCATCTCCACACACAACAGCCAGGAATGACTTAGCACCAACACCAGTAGCTCTCTCCTTAGAGGAAAGGCTGAGAATACGCGTCCAAGTCTAGGGACTCAAAACTTCAGAAACACCGAGGACCAGCTGTCCACACCCACCCCTCTCCCCCGCCCAGCCTCCCCACCCAAACCACCACCCTCCCTGGCGGGAGGGAGAGGGGTGGCCGGGAAGGGCCAAGCGATGGTCCCCAGATGGGCTCAGTATTGGACAAGAAGGGGAGGGATGCGGGACAAGACAAGGGAGACCTCCCACGAGCTAGGAAAAGCAATGGAAGGAGCTAGAGTATGAAAAAATAACCAAAATGAAAGAAGCAAGGACCAGAGAGGGAAACTGAGAGAGTAACTGGGAACAGCTGGTGCCTGGACCAGCAAAGCACTAGGGGACAGGGGACGAGGGAATAGGAGGGACGGGGAAGATGAACAGGCTGGAGAACTCACAGTCTTGGGGGCTGGGGGACACGTGGTTCAGGGGTCAGCACACGAAGAGTGTGCAGACTGGAGCGGCTGCAGACAAGGGGCCTGGGGAGCGGGAATGACTGGGGAGACGGGGGTCCCGGACCTGGAACTGGGACTCGGGGGGCCTCGGGGTTAGGAGGGACCGAGACACGGGGGGTCTGAGAACTGGGGGTCTGGGAACTGGGCAACGGCGTCGGAGGACTGGGAGGGACTGGGGCACCGCGCACAGGTGTCTCGGAGCAGGTCGTTAGTGATGGACAGGAGTCAGGGGACCAGGAGGGCGCGGACTCGGGACGCCAGAGAACTGCAGGCGACCAAGGGCGAGGAACGGAGCGTCCACGGGGTCAGGAGACCCGGAGCGCTGGGACGGGGGGCTGCGGGCGGGCGGGACGCGGGGACTCAAGGGGCGGCGGGAGCGGCGGGAGCGGGGGAGCTGGGG